GAAGCAGTTAGTTACCTTTAAAACATATAGAATCATAGAATCACGGAATGGTTTGGATTGGAAGGGACCTTAGAGATCATCTAGTTCCTACCCTCCTGCTATGGGCAGGGACACCTCCCACTAGAGCAGGTTGCTCAAAGCCTCATCCAGCCTGGCCTTGAACACCTCCAGGGAGGGGACATCTACAATTTCTCTGGGCAACCTGTTCCAGTGTCTCACCACCCTCACAAGAAAAAAATTTCTTCCTAATATCTAGTCTAATTCTCTTCTCTTCCAGTTTAAATCCATTACCCCTTGTCCTGTCACTACACGCCCTTGTAAAAAGTCCCTCCCCATCTCTCCTGTAGCCCCCTTCAGGTACTGGCAGGCTGCTATAAGGTCCCCCCGGAGCCTTCTCTTCTCCAGGCTGAACAAACCCAACTCTCTCAGCCTGTCCTCATAGGGGAGGTGCTCCAGCCCTCTGATAATCTTAGTCGCTCTCCTCTGGACTCGCTCCAACAGGTCCGTGTCATTCTTATGTTGGGGGCCCCAGAGCTGGATGCAGTACTCCAGGTGGGATCTCACGAGAGTGGAGTAAAGGGGGAGAATCACCTCCCTCGACCTGCTGCTAATATTTCTTTTGATGCAGTCCAGGACACAGTTGGCTTTCTGGGCTGCAAGTGCACGCTGCCAGCTCATGTTGATCTTCTCATCTACCAACAGCCTCAAATCCTTTTCCTCAGGGCTGCTCTCAATCCACTCTGCTCACAGCCTGTATTTGTGCTTGGGATTGCCTTGACCCACATGCAAGACCTTACATTTGGCTTTGTTGAACTTCATGAGGTTTGCACAGGCCCACCAGTCAAGCCTAGTGAAAGTGCAGCTGGATGGGCATGTGGCAGCTGGCAAATGTCAGCCCACCACATAGGAAAAGACTGAACTGTCATAACAGCTTTGAAGAAGTACTGAACATCTAAAATATGTATTCTCAAAATTGAACCTACTTATCACAAGCACATAGAAATATAATTCATTTGTACTCTATTCAGTATGATGCTTTTAAGATAAGACCAGGTGTTTAAGATATTTAAAAATAAATCTCACATGAAGTTGTAATCTAAAGAAGTTTTTGTTCTAATTCAGCTAAATGCTAAAGTGCAAAAAAAGTTTATCATAGTGCCATGTATATAAAATCAGGCTCAGGTTTGTGTAACTTGCTCATGCAGGGTCTTAGAAGGGAGAAGATACTTATTAACCTATATGTTTCATTTTTATGTTGCCTGCATATCCCATATCCTGTCCTATCTTTATAGACACACAATAGGAACTTCAAAGGACGTGTTGCCTGAGCTGCTTCAAACCTGTATTCAGTTATTCTGCACACTTGGCAAACATTGACAAAAAACTTGCTAAGTTGTACTGAGTTTGTGCACAGCTAGTAGAAAAAAGCCACAGGAAGCTTATGTGCAGGTTGTATCTTCTATGTTAAATGTTATATGTAAATCTGATATGTTGAAATGCAACAGATTTGGAGCATATTTTGGAATGGATATATTCAGATGTGAAATGCATTTTTAAATCAAGTCAAGGTCCTGAATCAAGTGGAAGTGTGCTTTCATATTTAAGTGGTTATATATATGTATTTTTCCCCTCTGTAAGTGTGCATTCATATACTATGAGGACTAAGAGTATACCCTCCTTGATTACAAGTGGCATTAGCATTAGTTCATCCTTAGTTTTAGTTAGATTTATAGATACATATAAAATTTACAAGATGCTGAGTACTCTTTCCTATTCATTCCAGTATTTAGGAGCATGTTATGCTTCTAGGTATAGTACTTGCGGAGAGGTTTGGAAAAGAGCTCTACCAGCCTCTCCCACAAAGGAGAGATTAAGTGGTTCAGGAAATTGAAGGTCTGAAAAATTCTTCCTTGACTAAATGAATCAACCATGGGCATTTACCACTGTCAGAAAATTAGGTCACAGATAGTATAAGCCAATTTTCTGCGGAAGTCCATTCAAGAATAAGGTAATTTTACATTTGCTGCTTTCTTTAAGTTGTAGTGGCAATGATAAAATGTCCATGCTCAACAGTGGCTTCAGCCTTTGAATCTCTGGGATGATTTGAAATGACTTTGTGTTTCTTTTCAAGTTGTTCCAATGCATGACTGGAGTTCTCATTAGAATGATCTTCATGCAAGGGCTGCCTGCTTCTCAGCTATCATCCACCTCCTGCTTTCCATTTTTGTCTAAAGTAAATCTGCATCCGGCAAACACTTGGAAATACGCTCTGTGGTTACTAATTACCTGGGCTGATTTACTTAGTTATGTGTTCTAGCACAATTAAGTCCTTTCTTTTCCTATTGTATCAGCCTCATTATTAGTTATAATGGTGACATTTATACTGTAAATGGAATGAAAGCATGAGAGGGAAAATGTGTGTGAAGATAGGACCATTGTGCAAGGGATGAATAAGTACTGAAGTATTAAGGCTAATTGTAATATATGATTATGGATTCAAAGGTTTTGTTTATATTGTCTTCAAAATATTTTGAGGAATGGTTTCAAGACCTACACAAGATTGTGTTAAAATATGTGTGCACATGGCCATAGGGATAAGTGGTACAAATATTCTATGAAAATATATGTGTTTAAAATTTCTAAATAAGCATGAGGGAATGCTTCTCAAGGGAATGATATTTTAGAAGCAGACAGCAATAAATAGGAAATAATGAAAATGCATTTCAGGGACCGTACTTTGGCAGAACTGTTGGCTATCCTAAAATGATGAATAATAGAGTAAAATTACAGCCATGATTGCATATTCTGAAAGTTCAGGTTTATACATGACTTATAAATATGTGTGGACAGATTTTTCATTTAATTGGTGTTTCTCTCTCCCTAGCAATTAGCAAAAGATAAAAGTGGTATTTAGATATTTAACTGAAAGAATATCTACCCACTCCCCCTTCACAAAAAAAAAAAAAAAAGAAAAAAAAAGAAAAAAAAAGACAATTGTAGTTTAGTCCTAAGAATTAATTTAGTAGTTAGGAGGTGTCCAGATATTAAAATACTATATCGTTTGAATACATAAGAGTGTTTTAAATGAAGCAAAGGCAGTTGGGTTCCTAGCTCACCCCTTTGTCAATTCCAAATGTTTCCAACTGAATCTCATTGTATTTTCTCCACAGCTGGCTTTTTTTAGGTCTCCTTGCTCACCTCCACTTGAGTTGACTTCATGATACTTGATCTTAACTGCTATCAGCCATGCAGGAGAATAATTCCTAAGAACCACCTTTTTAGTTGCTTGTTTGTAGCATCTTATGACTTCTAGAACTAGTTCCGTGAAAAATTAGCAAGGATTTACCAACATGTTTCAGGAGAAGACAGGAGCAGAAGGATGCCTAAAGCACTCCAGAAACTTGCTATTTTTTTCATGCTCTCAGAGATATCCCATATCATGCCAAACAAGCCTTCTAACAAACCCATCTCATCTCACACTGGTTAGGATGGAGATACTATTGTTAAGAAAGTGAGAGTGAACACTAATAGTTTTTTAATTTCATATACTAACTGGAGTTGGCTGGAAAATGATATTTCTGCCTTGCGGGTAATTCCAGTTGTTCAGGTTTGCATTTAGTTCTGGCATTTCACAATCATGTTTTAGGGATAGATTTAAATGCTTCTTCATCATGTATTGTATTGCCATGATACTAAGTGTGAGAAGATTGGACCTGACAGTAAAAGGGGTTGTTGAGGGAGAAAGACTCTCAATATGACTGAAGAAGGAAAAGAAAACACAAACCAGGATAAATACTGTTGCAGTGGACACTATCATTTGCCAGTAAATAACTCAATTTCTGTGAGATGTCTTTCAAGTAGAATTTTTTATGTTAGAAAATCTTCAGCCAATTCTAATATTCTTGTTGTTATTGGGGTCTTTGCTATTGGTATATACTTCATTAAATCAATAGAAGGAGAAAAAGCAAACACGTCAACATAAGGCATCATCTTTAAGGGGAGAGGTAATATGCAAACCTTAGTTTTGAAGATCTACTTGTAGCTCCAGTCAACTTAAAGTTTGTCACTTTTGACCAGCAAGGCAAAGGCTAAAATAAAACTTAAGAAAAGTGGTGGGGTGTGGGAGTTTTTAAGTCAGGCTTTAGGTTGGGGCATCTAAATAAGTTAGTCCCATTAGTCAGTTGAAGTAGAGTTGGCAAACCTAAAAAATACAGTTTTATTTGTAGACCATTTATTGTTTAGAAAGGCAGGGAGTTCCTGCCATTAAAATACACGAAGTTTTGCTTTGAAGAAAACTGCAGTATTTCTGTATTTACCATAGATGGCTGTTCTTCCTTGAAGGAAGAACTTCAGTTCCAAACCAGTGAGAGGTTTTTGGTGATCACTTCTGATGGAAGAAGCCCACTATTGATATGAGGAGTACTGTGGATTCAGGGATGAATAGGATAAATTAGGGAGACTTCACACTGCAGAGAATGTAGCAGAAATGATGCTTGGCTTATAATAATGAAAAATTCCTATCTGTTCCACTCTTTATCTTACTTCTTTTTTTTTCAAAGGTTGTCACCTCTTCTTGTCTGAAATAATTTCTTACTCTAAGTCTCTAGCAATATGAAAAAGGATTAGACTAACTTTTGAAGAGGTAACAATTTCCAGAAGCAAAATGTGGTGGTAAATGGCTCATTTTGATAGTGGCACATATCTATTTTTTGCCATAACTGGAGTTATTCTTCCTTAACTTTGCTCTGTTTTTATTTCTGTATGAATGCTTGTTTCTTGAACCAATTGTTCCATTGTTCATCTTGGAACTTGTTCTTCTGGCAGACGTCACAGACATTTTCCTGAAATTTTAGCTGCTACTTAATTCTCCACAAAATTGATGGTGGGATTAATTTATCTCAGATGACCCTTTAATGCTCAGGCAATGCCTAGTTCAACCTGCCATTCTATTAAATCTTTTCAGAAGTTACTGAAATGGTCTCAATGTTTTTTTATTGTAGGTTTCATATATACTGGAGAAGTTGTGCATCGAATGCTAACAGCTACACAATATATTGCACCCTTAATGGCAAATTTTGACCCCAGTGTGTCAAGAAATTCAACAGTCAGATACTTTGATAATGGTATGTAGTAGTCCTTCATAAATGAATGTATCTGTGTCCCTTGCCTCTTCATATTTTCCTAAATAACTAGTTTTGAAGGAAAAATTGAAGATTTTTAAAAAATTTTTGTTGGTATTTTTTTAGCTCACAGACTGTATAAAGCATCTGGCTAGACATCCATAAACAGTTCTTAATTTAGAACATGATTAAAGAGTCATGGATGCTTTTTCCCAATTGGACAGTTGTCTTCTCGATGTTAAAGTACATAAACTCAAACAAGCAATGTATTTTATCAGTTTTAAAATGAAAAATCTATCTTGTATAAAAGTGCAAGTTCCTGTTACTTCAAAATATATGTACTAAATACTGTCCACCACTAGCTAAAATTAAAATAGCATTTGGGGAATGCAATAGCAAGAACACATAGAAGCAGGGCAGGTATAATGTTAAGAAACCTGTCAATGACTAAGTGTGCATGGAGTCCCAGGATTGGAATCCAATACGCTCATCTACACCACGAGTTCTCAACAGTCCCTTGTACGAGAGGTTGAAGGGCTGCACTGTTATACTTGAAGCTCTGTGAGATATTTCAAAGGCCTTGAATGTGTGTATATTTTTCTCATGAAGTCAGTTATAGTCAATATTTTGAGAAAGTAACATACGTGATTAAAAGGCATCTGGTACCTTACCTCAGGCCTTTAGTGATCAAATACAATGGCAGTGACTGTCTATTCTGAATTTAAAACTTAGAGAGCTTAGCATGATGACTTAATGAGATCTGTGATTTTTTTAAATCTTCCTGGATGAGCCTGTGCCATTCTATGTATGTTTATTCATAATGAATTTAAGCACAAATTATGAACATGTACAAAAAAATACATCACATTTCAAATCAGGTGTGTTAAATTTTATTCTTTAGATCGTGGAACAAAATATGTCCTGTAACTTTTGCACCTAGTCATAACCTTTCCTTTCAATCTAGTCATTACTTGCAGCATTTATTTGTTAAAAATCCAATAAAATATATGAGAAAATCCTACTCCTGACATGGAGAATTTTCAAACAGAAAAAAATATTATTTTAATTTCATGAGTTGTTTGATATTTTGGCCTGAGATTTATCATCTGTACTGAAAGAATCCGAGGATTCTGGGGAAGACATTGCTAATTCTTATTGTATTCCTGACTTACGGTCTTCATACGTGGTGTATCAGACTGTTTACATTGCTTTCACAACAAGGTTGAATATTTCTTTGAGATTTCGAATCCCTCTTCGTGTGTAAGGCATGATGATCTTTTGGACCCCATGTACTTTCAGACAAAGAATTTGCTATCTTGCCTAAATAAAAAGGAACTGAGCAAATTGTATCTTCAGCTCCTTATTTCTTATTCATCCGTGTTTTATCCCTGTGAGTAAGTGTGCTGCTTTAGAGTGGCATCTGTATTGGGCAAGCACAGAGTGTGGTGATCCATCAAAGTCTCACTCATGGAGCTAACTGCAAGGAACTTCAGTACACACAAATCTACATAAGGGCCCTGGGATTGAGAAGACTTTTGGAGGCAGCTGACTTCCACTTTCGCTTGGGATTCTGAGATGCACATAGATCTGAGGTACTCAAAGATTGACTGTAAGAAGATCTGACTGGTTTTGCTTCAATAGTTTTAAAAGTCCCCTTAAATTCATTTAAAATGGAATTTAATACAGTCAAATATTCAGAAAGCAGTTAGTGAGTTGTGGTCACAGAAGAAAAATGCACTGTGTGCACAATTAATGGGCGTGTACTATACTTAGGAAAGACACATGGGACAATAATGTGGTGGACTTAGTGCAGTGTGCACCAAAAATTTGCATGCGTATAGTTTTGTGACATTCCCTGCCAAGACGTGTTAATGAAAGTTACAGCACACAAGATCTGTGACAAAAAATGTTTCAAGGATATATCAGAATTGCATTGAGCTGGATGCACACTGACCCATATTGAACGCTCCTGGAAGAAGTGAAATTAAAGTGTTGTGAATAAAAGCACGTAACTCCCATTAGTGCCAAAGAGAGAAGTATGTTGAGACAAAAAACTCATTTTCAGTAAACACAGTTTTGGTGATAAGTGTCTTTCAGCCAAGCTGCTTGAATGTGTCTATAACCCTCAACATCTGTAAAACATGCTCACAGGGTATGCAAGTTGCTTGGGGTACATTTTTAGTGCTATAAGTGGATATTCAGCCAGAGAACTCCCATGAATATTAACAAGCCTCTTGCAACTAAATCTCTCCACACCAGACTCAATATTTACCCCATCTATGAATTCTTAGTCGTTTTAATTTAAACTACATTTATTTATTGCCAACACCTAATATTTTTCAACTTGCAGAACCTCATCAAGGGCTTGCGCCATGCAGAAAAAAATTAACTCTATTTCTATTAATGCATAGTTAATGGAAGAATCTGAATTCCTCAAATAATAACTTTTACTAAATAGGCAGTGCTATTAGCATTTCACATTTCAAAGCCATCAGGGTATGTATACATATAGGGTAAAAAAAGCCTCTGCAGAGCAGTGATTGAGGCACCACACCTGAACTCTGAGTGCTGGATCCTACGTTTAGTGATTGTTGACTCCTTGTGCAATTCCAAACAAGTAAGTTACTTGGCCACTCTTGCTTTAGCACACTTTTGTGCAAGTAGTTGAGGTAGTTATTTGTGGCACTGTGGTGTCTACCTTTAAGAGGATTTCAGTTGCAACTTGTATTTGTAATATCTTTGGCATTTCAAGATGCTGGGCTGAAAGCTGCTAAAGAAGAGACAAATCACTGTTCTTGTTTCAAGTAACTGTAGTACTTTTCCTACAGTCAGTTAATATTTTTCTCACATTTTTTCCTTCCCTTTGCCTCTCTACCCCCACTCTGGGGTTCACAGGCACAGCACTAGTTGTCCAGTGGGACCATGTACATCTGCAGGATAATTACAACCTGGGCAGTTTCACTTTTCAGGCCACCCTTCTCAATGATGGGCGTATCATTTTCGGCTACAAAGAAGTAAGTTGAGTCTGAAAATTGCCATTTAAGTAGACTAATTACTTTATACCTGACAGAAATTTCCCTGTATTGGGGGGGGTAGGGAGTGGGGGCGGAGGTATTTGAAAGTTCAACTATACAAGATCATTCCATTATATTGCTTGTAAAATCACTATTTTGCTGAAAATGACATTTTATTATAAAAATTATGTTCATGTGATGAACTTGAAAACCATCAACATGGCTCAGATGTGCTACTCCTGGATTTCAGCTGGCTTTTTTTGGGGTGGTTGTGTGTTGAGTGTTTAGTAAATTCTTGAGTGTTTAGTAAATTCCTCTTAGGTTTTTAAAGGTAGGGTCTAATTTGCTCAATTACTTCACCTAATTTGAGCCTGTTTGAAAATACTCTAGAATCAATGGTTACTCTTAAAAGGTCATCTTTTTCCTGTAGCTATCATTTCTTGGCAACTAATGTATTTCAAAGTACGTATATTTCAAATAAGAAGTAACAGGTTTTTATCTCTATCTCGGAGAGGTTTTCCATCTATTTGGTGATAACATTGGTTAGATCAAGGCCATCCGGTTTGCCTTCATAGCACCAATATGTTATTGTCTCAGTTGGGCTCCTCTGCATTCTCCGAGTATTTCAGAATTTCAGTCATTACTTTAGATTATTTGTTTCTTCTTGCTATTGTTGGTAGTCTCCTGGAGTCTATAGCGTAGAGGTTATACCTCAAATTGAATTTCATGCAAATGAGAATCAGAAGGTAGATAGTCTCAAATCTCTAGGGGCAAAGAAAAATGTCTTTCTTTTTTTGGTGATTTTAATCTCGGTTTGTCAAGAAGTGTTATATTCTCTTCAATATGTACATCTCTCTGTTACCCTTCTTATATTAAAAAAAAAAAACCACCACCCTGTAATCAGTGATATGTCTGACTGTCCAAACTTGGAGAAATGTGGGTTCTCCTCTCTCTGCTGCAGACCACTTGTGAGCCTTCAGGGTCATTTTTCTTGCCCGTGTTGAAGCCATGCACATGAATGAAGTAGAAATAATAGTACTCCTCTCCCCTTCATCAGAAAGCTGGTGAGGATCTGAATTATTCTACTAGCAGCATTCACATCATCACCTGAGATGATGCATCTTGCAAACAGGATTGCTGCAGGATACTCTTACTGGATTAGTTTTGTAGACACACGAAATTTCTGGTATGCTCATATACCTGTCTTTCTTTATCTTATAAGAGACATGCTGATGCAGGGTCTGCTTTGGCTCTCTTTCTGAATGTTATTGTACAGGCTAGTAGTCTTAATCCATGAAAATGCAGTTTATTTGCATTTTGACTCCAGCTTCATGTAAGCTTTGCTCTGCTTAGCACAGTGGAGCTGGTGCTTGATCAAAGGAGTGTGCACCAAAGCTTTATTTATCTCCTGTTGTTGAAAGCTTTTTAAAGAAATACAAATCTTTTTAAAGACCACTGAAACGTTCTTGTCTTCCAGACCCAGAGAAGTAGGGAGGGACACTGCTTCAGTTTGTAACTTTAAGATAAATTTGGCAAGAACTGTATATGCATTCTGACATTAAAATGATGATGGCTTGAGGACACTACTATTCTTGGTTAAGAAATGCTCTGCCTTGTCTGTTACTGTCCAGCCCTGTGCAAAATGAATCTAGTATGGGTGATAAAAGCTATTGCTATAAATTGTTAGTATCTTGCATTAATTTTGCATATAAACGTAAACGATGATGCAGAGTGCCAGGCAGTGGATAACTTTAATAATTTAGGAAGAGAGGAGAAATTAGGCCACCTCATTAATCACATGTGATTCCCTAGAATTGCATGCAATTATGTCTCTTTACCTCTGGATAAACTAGTTCTGTGCTACAATGGCTTAGGCTGTTTGCTCTCACTACAGCAGTGAAAGCTTCCTCCAGAACCACAGTGCTTTTGCGGGGAAGGCTTATTAACATTCTTTTCCTTAATCCTGGGACAGAAGGAATTGGAATTTGTCAATGGGATAATTTGCATTTTTTCCAATGCTGAATCTCTGAAATCCCCTGTCATGAGTTATTCTTGTCATGAATGGAATTACCAAACACCACTTTAGAACTATTGCACATAGTTAAGGAAAGAGACTTTTTAATGGAAATAGTAACATGCTAGTGGTCCATAAATCTTTTGACAAAATATTTTTGTAAAATCTTAGAATGTTACAACTAGTGTATTCTGCTGGGAATTTCTTGGGGAACGGATTTGGAGGCTGAGCTTTCCAGAAGACTACACTCTCTATTTGCAACCTGTCTTACTCCATTAAAATTACCTCAGCTTTTCACCTAAATGATGAAAATTGAATAAAATTTCCAATCACTGATCAGACGCGAGTTGTCTGAAAAGAAAAACTGAGACACTTGTAAATTTAAACTTGACTCTAGTGCTTATAAGTCTGGCTAGGAACTGATTTCCTTTCCAGTGCTGAATCCATTGCTTTCTGAGGAAGTCCTTCCTTCTGGAGCCATTTCTCTTGCTGGTGAGTCATGTTGCTAGGAGCCCCATTAACTCCAGTAAGATTACTTGCATGAGCAAAAGTTGCATGAGAAGATTTCTACCATCTTTTTTGGTTTAATTTTATTTTAGCATCACAGTTCATCAAAAATTACAGTGATGTATGGCAAATCTGTGAGGTCTTCATTGCATTTTCATTGAAAGTCTCCAAGCTGCAAGACCATGCAAGAAATGCAGCAAACAGGCTGCGAGTAAATTCATAAAGCATCCCATGGGGGCTCTGTATTAGTGACACCAGGAGTTTATCTTGGAAGAATCTACTTTTAAAATAACTTTGATTATACATTAAAAGGAGTTACAAATAGGGACTTTTATGTCTAAAGCAAATCAGGTAAATTTACCTTTTATTTCCTATTTAGTCAAATCATTTGAGATTCCCTTTTTCGTATCCTTCCTGCTCCCACATCAGGTTTGCTACCTCATAAACATGGTATTGGCACCAAGAAAGGATCTTGTCTGGGATTTGCTGAGTATCAAATGAGCTGTTCGACCCAAACTTCTGCGTTTGCCCAATAGGAAGCAGTCTGAAACGCACAACGGTTATCCAAAATCAAGAATAGATTCTGAAGAAATAAAAAATGAGAAAGGAGCTGAGCCACCAGGAGAGTGAAATCTGGAGACATCAGAATACCTTTCAGAAGAGTTAATAGATAGGAGAAGGAGCTGTACAGCCAAGTTTTTAAAATGTAGACATAATTTGAAATATAAGAAGGTCAAATATTTATTTATTTACCAATTTAGTTTGTTTACAGTGGATACACCTTCCATTTTAAATATGACTTTGCTTACACCAGCTGTTAGTGTTCTGGCAAATGGTCAATATGTCAGGAAACATTAGCTAGCAGGAAAATTTTACTGGTGCACCTCTACTACACATTGAATACTTCACAGTGCAAACTAGCCAACAGAACATAGTAATAAAGAAAATTTTCTGCAAGGGCATACCTTTTTATGTATTAGTAGTGAATGCTCATTTCTTATGTTCTGAATTTCACAGAAGTTCAATTCTCAAGAGCTTTACTTCATTTTGAACAAAATTACTGTTCTAGATATTCTTTTCCCATTAGTGCTTTTAGCTCCTTAGTGTAACTTTTTCTGACCATGATTAATATAGGACAAATTAGGCAAAGGTACCAAAGGCTTTGTTAATTGTTTAGGATATTTTTCTTAATTTCATTGGCTTGAAGGCTTTCTTTGTTCATTTAAATAGTAATGACTCTGTATTTATGTAGTCATCCAGAAACCGTTATTAAAGTTGAAATGCTTGTTCAAATTGCCCAATATGTGAAGTTGGAAAATAATTCTAAAAGAGACTTGTAGTAGAATTTCTTTCTACTGTGAAAGGAGGCAGAACTGATGGAACTGATAAGTGCTAGCACTTAGATAAAATTGATGTTCCTGCTATGTGTGACAGAAAATAGTCTGTCTTCAGTGACAAGAATCCAAACCTTGTGATTGTTTCCTGAAAACAAAAAAAACAAAAAAAAACAAAAAAAAAAAAAGAAAAAACCCCACCAAAACCCCAAGAAACCACATATCTTCATGGATATTCTGTCTGCATTATACATGCCTGGCATTTCTTTGCTTCTGTTATTATCATCAAAAGTAACATGTAAGTGGGATCTTTGATTTTATCAGGTGATCAGTTTATGCAACTTAAAATTCCTGATTAAGTTTCATGCAGTTTGGCCTGTAAAGTAATTAGTAACTGTTTAGGGAACTGGCAATGAAACCTCTGTATAAGTACTATTGTCTTCCTAATTATTATTTTGCAGCATACTCTGGCTCTTATCTTTGACTCAGTTTTGAAGTGGGGCAGTAATTGCACCCTGCTTACCATCTCCTTCAGAATAAGGTCAGAAGCCATTATTTTATTCTTTTTTGAATGGTAAGATTCTGACATGTCCTCAGAGAAAGTTGAGTAAAATTTGAGAGCTCTGATGGAAAATACTGTCTAGATTACTGGTCCCAATGATGAATAGAATTCAGCATAAGTTCTAAATGTCTTTCTCCCTATTGTCGAAGTATGCGATCCAAGATATAGATGTCAATAGCCTCAGTGCTCGTGTGTGTTTGGGAAGCTTACTCATAAACTGGTGACTTGTACAACACAAGAGTTCGGATTGTCTATGGTAGAGCTAACATACATTTTTGAATTATTCTAGTTTAAATCCATCCTCTGAATGTAATGCTGTAAAACCCCTGCCACCCACTTCCTGTGTGATCTGATCTATGTGTTCCTGCTCCGGCAGGGGGATTGGACTAGATGATCTTTCGAGGTCCCTTCCAATCTCTTAACATTCTGTGATTCTGTGATTCATTAGCAACCACTTGCATATTCCTGGCTTACTGTTCAACTGTTTAACATGTCAGCCTGTCGTGACATACCTTGCCATTCAGGTGAGGAAGTCATAACATTAGATATCTGCTTGCTACTTATGTTTCACTGTAAATTTCGTAAATTATTTTATCATGTACTACAAGTCTTCTGTCAAACGGACATATTTCCTAATAGGCCATTATATGGTAAAAAGCCCATTTTATCTCAGCATTTCATTCAAAAGATTTGACCTGTAAAATGGCAAAAATCATTTCTCTTCCCACACTTTCAGAATAAACATGTGATTTGTAAATACAGGTTTAATAATGCTATAGTTTTTCAAGAAAATAAGACAGGTTTCCTGGGCCATGGATTCCATTCTACTTCAACTGCATTCATGTCTGTGTGACTAATTGACACAGGCTGTACCTCAGTTTGAAGAGCAGGCTATGCTTTGAGCTGCCAGTTTTGCCAGTACATGTTGTTGGTCACACACCTACTCAAAATGACAATTCCAACGTGCATTTTATGTCCATAAAACTCTGATTCCTTTTTTCATCTACTGGTTTCCTCTCTGTCTTGGAAGATAAATCGCCATTGTGCCCTCATCAGTGCTTTTTTAACTTGATTCTCAATAGCTTCTCCAGACTATTGTCCTCAAAAAATTTTAAGACAGTTTCCTTCATAATTAGTGTAAGCTTTTCACTACAGTATTCTGAGACTATGAATAATTCCCTTGTTTTCTTTATATTTTCATGCTGGAGAAAGTTTATAGGCTTATTTCTGAACTCCGTGAGTCTTTTATTTTGAAGACTTTGAAAACGTGGCTTTCACCCTTCTTATGTCATATTCTCCAATAACTGCATCAGAGCTAAGCTGATATAAACCACACTTAAATTGATGTATTGCTAGCAGTATTTCCAAGCCACTTCTGTTTTTCATGTTGGTTTAGTGTCATTCCTTTTGTTATACCAAAGCAGATCATAAATACAAAAAGCCCTAAATAAATCAGCCAAACCAGTCAATAGATCAAGTAAAAGAAATGGAAATTTATGACACTGTTTAATTTACCCAAACTTACTTTTTTTGTTAGTATTCTCAAATTTAACTTTTACTAGACAGATAGCAGTGTAATCAGGGAAAAGCACAGCTGCGTGATATTTTGTGAACAAGAAGAACAACTACTGATGTTCAGTTCAAATACCAGAAGTCATACCATTAAATGACATGTAGAGAATACTAAATCCTCATTCACTAGATCTTTAACCAGCTTTTTACTTTGGTATTTTTCTTCTGTGTGAAAAATACATAACGGTATCATTTTGGTAATTTTATGCAGGTAAAGCCAGAGCAGACTATTAGGTTAGCTGAGCTAGCACCTTGTTTCTCAGTTTCTTGCACTTGATCTAGTTTCGTCTGTCTTCAGCCTAGTAATTTCTGCTTAACTGAAGGCCAACTTTGAAAAATAAGATATCCAGTTGTGATTTTAAAGCAGCACTGGGTAGAGAAACATAATTTCCCATGGTAATTTATCCCAGTGATTAATAATGTTCAATCATGGAAGTATGTGCCTTATACTACTATGAAGATATTTATCTGCAGCTTCCAGCTTATGGTTATAACTTCCTGTGCTAGATGAAAACACTCTCTAGCCCCTGAGTAATTTCTCCTCCTGGCAGTACTTGTTTAGGGTAATCCAGCCGGCTTTCCATTTTCCCTTTGAGAAGCCAAACAGATAGAGCTCTTTAACTCTTCTGTTAGTGGCATATGAGAACTGCAGAAGTTGTCAAATTATTTTTATGACTCTCTTAATCTTCCTTCTCTTAAGTTTTCATCATCTTATTAAGAAATAGACCCACCCAAGGTTCATGTAACTTTTCAGTAATGTTATAATGTACACATGGGAGTAAAATGGCCACCCCACTCCTAGGCTATATTCCACTGTTTGTGTAACCAAATATCACAATTAAGTTTTCTTGCTGCAATATCGCTTCTGAGTTGTTAATTCACTACAATCCCGAGATTTCTTCCAGAATGGCTGCTTTCTAGAACATGGTCCCCAAACCTCTACCTTGTAGTCTTTGTTCTCTGAGTTATAACTTTGCAGTTTTTGAAAGGTCTGACTTTGCTAATTGATCCAGACATTTCATTATTTTTACTCTGCCAGTGTCATAGGCGGAACTGCTAGGAGGTAAATTTATGTTTCCTCCTCAATCTTTGACAAAACTTTTGAATACTGGGTCTGATGTTTGGAGAAGCAAGATATACTGCAAAGACACACTGTCAGTCTGAGCTGCTGCTTTAGTGATGGCTGCTGTTTGTGATCAGTCTACTAAACTATATTAATATTGTATAAATGCTGCATGTCACTAAGTCAAACACCTTACAAAATTCTAAAGCTATTGCATCTGTATATATGTCAGCCAAAGCTGTGATCTTCCCCAAAGAATGAAATCAAACTTGACACCTATTTTCATACGACCACATTGCCCAGCATCAATATCTATGTTATGTAAAGTTGGACTCGTCTGTAGCTATCTAAGTATTTTTATTTCTTCTTTTACATATTGGCAAGTGAGCATCTTGCATTTTCCATGACTTTGATAACTTCCCTGCTATTCCAAGGCATATTAAACATTAATATCATTGGGCCAGAGCTCTCTTCAGATAGCTCTTCAAAGAGTTTTCACTGCAAGTTAACTGACCCATAAGGTTTTAAAATGTTCATCCCAAGCTGAACTTTCACAGTTTATATGCTCAATAGTAGACAAGAGGTATTGCCTTCTTCTCCTTGTCTAATACTAGCACATCATCCCACTTTTTCTTCAACTAGGGGAAGTAAATTCCTGAATATTAATGCCCTTTTCTGTGTCATCATTAAGAATTGTTCCGCCTCAAAGTGTTGATGTAAATATTGTTATATAAGAAGCAAATCAAACTGGAATTAAATAAAAATTCAAAACAGTAATTTCAATAGTCAATAAATCCCTAGTCATATTATGCTATATTGTATAATGTATTATTTTGGGCTTTTAATTTTCACTGCCTAAATGTTCATTCTGGCAGTGCTGTTATTTTTAGTTTGTGTTTCTTTAGTTCAATATTTCATGCATATTTTCCTATTTTGTCTTCCAGATTCCTGTTGCTGTGACACAGATAAGTTCGACTAACCATCCAGTGAAAGTGGGACTCTCAGATGCATTTGTGGTCGTGCACAGGATCCAGCAAATTCCCAGTATGTAGTATTGTAGTGGTGCTAATGGTTTGGAGGCTGAGAAATGAGTATAAGCTTATTTCATCAAGGATGATTAGCTGCACAAAAAATCACTTAGCTAATTTCAGCTTGTTAATTCAAGTGTAATTTTATTTGCTTGAAAATTCCCAATGTGGCTTTCTCTGTCATTGTTTCTTTTGAGCTGATAAATTAAATAAATAAAACTAAATGGCCAGCCAAATAATGTAAAATTAAACTGTCAACCAGCACACTTTGGTATTCCATAAGATACTCTATTTGGATGTCTCCTTTTCCACAGTAGGGAAGAAGCAACCTGTTCAAAAAAATATCCTAGCTGGAAATTCTTGATAACGTAAATTCTGAACTTCAAATTCACGTAAAGGTTTTAGTGAGAGAAAAGAAGAGAAGACAGTTATTAAATAACATCTTGGGCTTATGTAGTTGCAACAGTAATGCAGGTGACATTTAATTTTCTCTGGAATTAATTATACCTTATATGGATTGACTGAAAAAAGAAGAGTAGGAAATCAAGTGTGATTTCCTTTATGCTTTGGTTTAATGTACTGTGTTCTGAACCCTTTGAGCTTGTTTAGCTGTTAGAGAGTATGCTCGCTTTCCAAGTGTGCTGGTTTTATTTACACTTTTGGAGCAAATTTACTAAATTCAACTTTTGATGATCCCCTAATAGCAGGGTGTAGATGGAAGGAACTGCACTTGAAGCAGCCTCCTAGGACTGCAGCGGGGCATATTCTCCTAAAGTGAACCCTGACAGAGGTGCAGGTGCCAGCAAAGTTTGTAAGGACTGACCTGATCCAGCCCATCTTTAGGGCAGTCTGCAGATGGGGCTGACACTGAAGTTGCAGGTACCATTGCCTTTCAGCTTACCCGATCCCCTTATCACATTTTAAACAGTCTTTGATGTGAGGGAGCATAAATACTACACCTTCCATGTCCTGTCATGGGGAAGATGGAAAGTTTCAGTACCAGGTATTGCTTGTTGTAAACTCAGAGTAGTGTGAAGGAGATTGGCATGCTCAGATTTCACTTAAGAGATCATGTCTAATAAGAAATTTGTTTCTGAAGTATGATAGATAGTTGTGATGTGCCTGTGGTCATATGGTTTGCTTTTGAGTGCTTAGGAACAAATTATTCTAGGCAACCAATTTCAGGAATTAGAGTAATGTTTGTGAGTGAGTGATCTGAATATTTCTATGAGTCTTCAGCTTGTGAAAGCTTCTAAAATGGATTCAGGTAGAAATTAGGTTGATTGACTTGCGCAAATGGTTTATGAGAATAGTCACACAGAAATTCAATGTAAGAGATGCAAGCAGTATGCAGATCTTTTGGCATCAGGCTTCCACCATCAAACAACACTAAAGGACTTATTTTAGATTTACCTATTTTGTATGTCAAATATATAATATATGTGAGTCTTTGTTTTAGTTTGGGTGTTTCTTTCTGTAGAAATATTTCAGACATGCACCTTGTTTTACTACCCCCACACAATGTTGGTTTTGATGAATACACAGTTACGTACCAGTCCTCTACTTTTAGTATTCCTGTAAACCTTTTTGTCACATGAAACTTTCTGCTAAGTGAAGTGACTGTTGTTACCAGAAAATTTGTGTAGTATTTAATCTTAAACTTACTCTGTTCATTAAGTTACATTAAGGAATGTCAGATAAGAAAATTAGAATATGGGTAAAGAGTCTAAAACATGCCACTGAAGCAACTGGTTTCATAACATCATTTCTGTACCACTGCGTGTAATGCACTGCATTTCTCTTTATGACTGGTTCTGTGGATGGTGGTAATTCATAGGGTTTTTTGCTAGTTTGCAGCCTACACTAGAGCTAGTATTAGTCATGCAAACCATCAGTTTGCAGCAGATTTTCCTTAAGCCAAATTGTGCTTTCAGTGAAACAGGTTTATATTAGTATGTACAGGCAACATAATAGCACCCTGACAGAACTGGTAAATAGTGTTGGCCCATAGGGAGCCAGTGTCAGATGCTCTTAAAATATGCATGTTCTTGCATTCTTGTTTTTCAGAGGTGTTCAGTCAACCATGGCTCAAGTCAATTACTGAAAAAGTGATATGATAGAATTGTTATTTTACTTTATTTGTTAGCTTCTTAAGGCAGTGGAAGAATATAAATTGCTGTTTATTTGTCCCAAAAGAAAGCAAATGTAGTTTAGCTATTAGTTCTTGCTTAACACTTTAGCAAAGAATTTTCCACCAAGAGAACTCAGTTTCCCTTTGTCTTCATGGTTAATTATAAAAAAAAAATACCCAAATAAGGCAAAAAAACCCAACTCTACTGCCTCCTGTTTGAGTTTTGTTGGCTAATTGTGTATACATCTTGCATTTGAAAAGGAGAGAGACATTAAGTGCAACAGAAGCCTGTTTGAACAAAGATATCCTCTCAATTTTCAAAAATGCTTAATGTCTTCAGTGCACTCTGCACTGTTCTAAAAGTTCAGCAGAATAATCCTAGGTTTATTTAAGTAAATTTCAAAGATTTATAACTATTTATCAGATTTTTTTCAGACATACTGTCCAAAACATTAGTAATATCTTTTTTTAATGCTTTTGAAAGGTGAGTTCTAAAGCTAGACAAACCTATTTCATTCTGAGGAGAGAACAGCATGCTTTTTGATCAGTCATTTGATTCCAGAAGTTCATTTTAATGAGTGGTGAAAACGATCTTCTTGAAGAGCCAAGAGCAAAAAGAAAGGATTTTCTGAACTTTTTGAAATTTAGGGCCTTGAGCATTTCATACCTATTTTTTTAAGATGCTCCTACATATAAAGGCTTTGCAGTAATACCCTTTTTATTTGTCCGTAAAAGAATACAGGTACCTACATTCTTTCACCTTATCTTTGAGTTAGAGCACAGAGATGGGAGATTTTGATAGATAGCTTTCTGCCTATTTTCTCTGCTTGATTTTTTTTTTAATCTGATACTACTGCTTATATGTAGACAATGTCTTTATTTTAGAGCCTATATGTGCTATTATTATATTGATGCAGATTGGCCACTATTTTATTTTTATATATTTTCTATATGTATAGGTACATATGCGTCTATATACTCTAGAGGTGCTTTGGAATGAATGGCAATTTGTGAAGGGATACGAATTTTTGCTTGACACCAAGGTTAACAAGAAAATTCTAACCTAAATTCTGAGATTTACATGGCAGCAAAATGGCAAATTAAGTCCATTGATTAATTTAAAAGAAAATTTTCTGCATCTTCCAGGTAATTCAAGTAAAGTGAACCAGGCTCTGGACCTTTGCTTCTGATTTGTCTGATAAGTTAGAGGGACCCTACTGATTTCTTCTTCTTCAGATAGGCTGAACACTTGTTCATTAACTATTTTTCCTTTTGTAGCAAAGACACTAAGAATGTTTAATGGATGCCTTCCAGTTAGACAACACATGATTGGTGAAGACAAAGCTGGTTCCTTCAGCAAGTCTTCTCTCCTCCCTTTTCTTCGGCATCTTCACTGCATCCGGAAACTTGTCCCTGTCCCATTAGAACCACCTTCTCTTCCCTGTTCCCTCTTATTTCTTGGGTTTTTTCTCAGCCATCCTGGCATTCTGTTCTTGATCCTTCTTTCAGTTGCCTGAGGTATCCTTTGCTCTCCTTTCTTCAGACTCCCAAGATCTTGCTCCAATTTCATGGCCATCTTTCTTCCCCTATGTCTCTCCTTCGGGGCTCCTACATTTCTCTCCTTTGTTTCAGTGCTCTCTTCCCTTTTTCCTTTCTATTAGCTTTTATATTGCATGAAGAAGAAATGAAAAAAAACATTTCCTACAACCCACTATTTTAGTAATGAAAAAACCCACCAGTGAGCTTTCCCAGATTGTGCTTTGTTTTCCATGAGAGCATGAAATACACTAGTAAAATAAGAGAGATTCAAGGGGTCTATGCAGTGAGTTACTAGTCTTGCACTTATAGATAATGGCTAGGTTTTTCTCCATGATGAGACATACTTTTCTATGATCTTGGCCTCTACTGTATTAGGTACAGCTCTTTTAGGAAATCCATACCTTAACAACCCAACATTTAATGGCACTGAAATTACTCAACAGCCCTGTGTACACAAATGAAATTGTAGCTGAGCTATTTATTAGTAATATTCCGGTTTCAGTGCAATTAGTACCACTCAATATGTAGTGTAACTCAAGCATATAATTAAGTGACAAGTCTGCATGTTATAACTGTTTGCTGAAGATTTCTCTCCAGTTTGTTTACAGCAGTGAGGCCGCTGAAAGAACCTTAGCATTACCTTCCTGAAGGGTAAAAGAAGACTAACAGTTTATGGTGTGATATTTATTATATAAAGGTGCAGCACCATCTGGGAAATCACAAAGTCTAATTTGCTGCTTTCTTGCTGGTGATGTTGTCATTTACCTCTGTGCAAAATGGAGACCAAAGTTATTGCTCAAAATCTGCAGTATTTATTCTTGCTTTCCACTAGTGTAACTAATTCCACAGAGTGCAACTCCTCCAGCCCTGCATGTTTGTCTGCTGGCCCGAAAGGGTTTAGCCGGGCAGCTGGGTTCCTTGGCACTAAGTGTCTGATTCAGGAGCAGTGAGGGAAGGTGTGGGCATGCTGCCAATCTTTGGTGGCATAACAGCATTTCGGGGACCAGTACTAGGTGATCAAAGTTTAAAATGTTCTCTTTTTAGCCAAAGCCTTAACTGACCATCGACCGATCTCAGAATTAGGCAGTTGGGTGCATGGTGGCTTAAGGGGATAAAGCATGGTTTTAACACCTAGATCTTGTACTAAGAGCAGCTCAGCCAGCATCAGGAATTGGGGTAAATCTGAAAGGACATGGAGAGTTCCAAAGTAAATGATGTGTGGTAGACACAGTGCATTGGTGCAGAACAGTTTTTCTACGTTGTTCGTAAAGCAGATGTTTTCAGAGCCTACTGCACTGGTTTGCTTATTCACAGATTATATGTCTTTGAGGTACAGCTTCCAGGTCTTAAAGGATTTTTTAGTAACTTTTAGGAGAATGATAAAATTAATACAATTAGGGAATCTGAATTTTGATCTAGATTCAAATGCGTGTAATAGTCAATGACCAAGAGCAATTGTGATGGTGGTTTAATTTCAGGCATGTTTGATCCCAGTGTCAGTGCCTCGGGAATTAATTAGTTAGTATTGATAAATTTAGCAATATTAAGCTGTTAAAAACAAAGAACAAAGATTTCTTTGACGTTCTGATTCCCTTACCTTTTGTGGTGATGGCAATCAGACATACCAAGCTGGCAAAATATATATTTGCATAAAGAGTTTATTCAACCAGTGGTACTAAATGAAGTCCCTATCAAGCAAAGCAGTGGCTGTATAGAACAGTGGCTTTGCCCCACCCTTCTGTATCCCTTATATTTTTCACAAATTGCTTGCAGTGTAAGCTGGATATGTTTCATAAATTGTTTGCTTCAAATTGACTTATGCCTAATCAAATGCACCCTCTTACCATTTGTGTTTTCTCTGTCAGCTAGACTTAAAAATGAAAGTGCAGCTGTATGAATACATATGGCCTCGTTAAGCAGTTTTTGCTGGGTATATGGCCGATCTCAATTCCCTAGAAATCTTTCACTGACAAAGATTTTTATTTGTGTGAACATATAATTTAAAAAAATCACACTGACTTATCCAGTATTTTCACGTTTTACTGGGTTGCAGTTTTCAGCTGAGGAATGCAGTATGAGGAAAAGTGACTATATGGTGGAAAAGTACCAGAGATTGTGCATCTGTTGGATACATATTTAGAATGGTTTATTGCTAGCTACTGACCCTTCAGGTATGTTAGGGAGTTGTGGGTGCTCTTCTGACACTGCTCCATCTCCAGAGCACTCTCCCTATTTAGTACATTTAGTTAGCTCTGGAAGTTCTGTTTCATAGAATGTTTGTATATCTTAGTTTAAAACTACTGTGATGAAACTACATAGAAATATTTTGGCACACCAAAGGCATGCACATTTGTAAATTGCTGGTCCATTGCTTAAACCCTTGAAAGGACTATTTCAGTCCTTTCAGAAAGGACTGTGCCTTTGGCCTTGTATTTAAAGATAGCACATGTACATGCCACAGAAACAAACCAAAGAACAATTTGCACCATGCTGTAAATTAAAACAAATGTAAAAAAAAAATACTCTGTTATTGAAAAAAAAATAAAATCAATGTATCATTTAGTTTAAAAGGGTGTTTGAGATACTCAGACCTCCAGAAAAGTAAAATATTTTCATGACTACAAGAATAATATATATGTATTTTCTGAAGTTCAGAACAAGGAATGGTACTTCAAAAATATATATGCATGCAAAAAGTCCTTTTCCTTTCCTCCCTTGTCTGTTAGATCTGATGTAATGCTTCCTTTTGGCAAAATGCCTGCACATGATGCTTAATTTTTTGTCTGTGACTACATCAAATTATTTCACTAGTTCTTGTCAAGTTAAGGTGCATGCTGAAGTACGTGGCCTCGTAAGCTCTTCGTGATTCTGCACTTGCACTTGTTTGTGAAAGAGCTAAATAGACAGCATGAGGCAAAGAAGAACGTTCCACCTGAGTGAAAGGCAGTGTGTGTCTTGGGTCGGAGCAGGAGTATGTGTTTGGGTTGAGATTGAGAAGGAAATTGTCAGGGGAGAGTATTCATTTTTCTGTTTATCCTGTCGAGTTTAGCTTTTCTAGCCTGTTTTGTTAAGGTGATACAGGCTCAGAATTCTAAATATGGAGGGAAAAGTGCATTTTGAGGAGCTAAGCGTGGCGTGTTTCAAGGCAGACTTTCAAAGGAATCTACACCTGCATTTTTTCACAGCCTGGCCAGGCAGATAAATTTGAATGCTCTTCTTTCCAACCACCTGCCTGCAAGTATATACAAAGCTATTAGAATGTGACTATGCAAATACCTTTCTGTGCTTAGGTTTCTTACAGTAGATAGATACCTCATATGCAAACCCACCACCTGGGGTTGGCACAGTCTTCTTCCTGAAGAAGAAAAGATCAGTCCTGAGTCTTGCAGGCAGTGGGATATAATGGGATCAACAGTTATGCTGAAATATGTGTGATTAGAATTTATTTTTTTATACAAATTTAATTCTCTTAAAATCAGTGTTTTTTTAGAATGTCATGCACTGGGTGAGATAAAAATGCCTGTGACTGGAATCATTGATTCTCTACTGGATTTTTGGAAAGCCAGAAGCTTCTTATTTCTTGTGAGCCCTGTGAGGAGTCTGTTAGGAAAGGTTCAGAGTGAACAGCATTATAGCATACCAGTCTGTACCACTGCTTATGGGATGAAATGGAGTTCAGTTGAAGTGCTGGCACCCACCATTGTAATTTGTGTATTCATTTGCTTATTTTTTTGGACAGAAGGATAAATATTTCTGTGGAAAAAAATTACAGCCTTCAGCATTGGCAGGATTTAGTTTCAAACACATTTCCTGATCACTCTGATTTGGCAGGTGCTTTTATGGAACTCACGATCCTGGAAGCGTAAACCTCTCACTGCTGGCAAGAGATTTTCCCCACCCTAGAACAAGATTAGCTTTGTCCTGAAAACCCTTTCTGTCCAGTGAATTTGAAGGACACGGCTAAGGCATTGGGGTAAATGTTTGGCACATCCTCGTGTCTGTCTTTTAACTGGTCAGAATGACGTTGTAGGTAAAACATAAAACCAGCACAATTATAGGTGCATTTCAGAGCGAAAGAGAAATCTGCTATCAGGAGGGGTGAAGCCATAGCAAAGTCAGCTTCAAATAAATGGCAAGAGGAACTGCTTGGCAAAGGTGCTCATTTGGAGATAAATAGAAATATTATTGTCTGAAAGCCAGACACTGCCTACCTATGCCTGGGGAGCTTATGCAGTGAGAAAAGACAGAGGAGCTCCTTCATCTGCAGCGATCCTGGTTGATGCAGGAGAGAGTTATCCCACCCAGCATCACTCTGCTTCTGCCTCCCCATCCCTCCTCAGAGATTCCCCTGTTTATTACAACTGACACCTATAACTTGATGGTTATTTTCTGTTTGTTGTAAGGGGGATTCCCACACTTGTGCTTTTAGAAATTGGCTATCCCTCATTTCTTAGAAAGCCTTGTCCACTTGAGCCAAGAGGCACCTTAGCCACAGGATACCTTAAGTGCACTTTCTCTTTTCCCTTAAAAATTTGTATTTATTGTTTGATTTATTTTAGTTGATGTTCCATTTTCTCTCTGAAAAATGCCTTCAACATCCATCCTAGCAAGAGATTGCTAAAAGCACCTCAGATTTGGTGCCATGTGATTGCTTAACAGCTGGGGAGGCCACGTGAGCCCACTTCAAGCTGCAGAAACACAGCCTTTATAGCGAGCAACAAGGTGTGCCCTAGTCCATGTGGGACTGGCAACACAGAAGACTGCCTAAGATTGAGTTTGTGGCTGTCTGCAATTCTGTTTCTTCTGTTGCATGTAGACTCAAATCAGCCATTGACCGGAGTAACCTGTTAATCCTTTGTCTGTAACTATTCGTCTCTGGCATGATTCCATAAGGTCAGTGATTATATTTAGCATTTATTTCAATTAGTTTAGCAGGCCTTCAAAAAGGACATAAGCTCGAATCCAGCATACCAGGAAATCATCATTATTGTGTCAGGTTGAAGGTATAGGGTGTACTTTTAATTTGTAAATGTACAAGCTCACCAGTCTGCACTGCAGCAATGCACTAAAAATCTGGAATATTCAGAATACGTGATAGGATATTGATCTGGAAACTAACAATTATGTTATTTTTTCACACTTACCTTGTGCTTGGGTCTTACAATCGTCCATGTGTTCAAAGCCCATAAGACCAGTGCATTGACTATATTGAATTTCTGCTTTGAGAAACTTAGGTGCAGTCAGCTTGTGTAGAGATTGTGCGTAACACTGGCTGTTTAGGAAGACTCGTCTTCTTTAATGTTATAATATGAAAAAATGTTCTAGTGCATTTAGACGTGAGCTAGCTTGAAGCTAACAAATTTGATTAAGCAATGAAATCAGTTTTGTTTGCACATCTTGACAACAACTGACAAAGTAAGCATATATAGCATTTCTCTCAAGTTTGTAAGCTGAGAAACGTCTGAGGAAAGCAAGCATCTGAAATATACCCTAAAATATCTGACAGTATACTCTCTAGCATTTTTACCTAAATGAATGACTAAGATGCTTGAGAGCACACTCAGTGTTTTCATGATCCTTTACCAGGAATAGGTACCTATTCTGTCAGCTCTAATGGTTTCTCCACTGAAAAATTCTCTGTCTGTACCTTGTACATGTTCCTTCATGGTGTCTAAAGTTAAAAAATTTATTCTTGAGGAAAATCGGTGTCATGTGTGCATGTAAGGAAGAGTGAGCAATCATTACATCCACTATTTTTTCACAATCTACAGACTGCAAAATGGTAAAGTGTGAAAATATTTTTATTTTTCTTTCCTGATAGATGTCCGTAGAAGAACAATTTATGAGTACCACAGGGTTGAGCTACAGATGTCAAAGATTACCAATCTCTCAGCTGTTGAAATGATACCTCTTCCAAGTAAGTAAAACGGATCATGGGCAGGAGCCAGATCTGGAAAGGACTCCCCTTTCCATTCCTACTAACATATACAGAGTTTTAAATATTTTGGTTTATCTGTGGACTTGGAATCATGGACAGATTCATTTATCCTGTTTCAGATTTATCCACAGATGGGTAATGTATTATCCAGTTCATCCTCATGTGTCTCAAGTTAGTTTATAGGTATATAGCTCCCGGTAGGTTTAGAATGAAATCTGTGCCAAATGGTTTTTTGAGAAGAATTATTATATTGCCTTTAAATTTGTTTCCTTGAGAAAAAAAGGAACAGTTTTCAGGCTTGCAAGGCAAACACGAATTCTTCTGTGTATCATGCATCACATTGCAAAGGAATATCCCCAAACACATTTAGCATTTCATCTGCCTCTTTTGTCCAAGGTAAAACTGTATTGTTTGGAAATATCCGGGTTTAAACTGACAGCTGTGCTACTGTGAAAAAAAAAAACAAAAAAACAAACAAAAAAAAAAAACCAACTGTTTTTCTTTTTTCTAACCCAATTATTATTCTTACACGCTTTCCTGCAAGTCGTATTATCTGCTTATGTCTGAATGTTAGCAACAGCAAGGAACACTAGAGCCAGGGAGGAAAGAGATTTAAGGAAATACTTGATATTAAGCAAAAAGATAAAAATTCAGCAACGAAGCTGAATGAGCAGATGTGAAAGTGGGAATATATTTACAAATGGAATACAAATGGAATCCTACAGGAAAAAATGTGCTTCTGTGCATACGGTCGTGCAATGCCTTGTAATAGGCTGGCTTTAGTGTCTTATTTTGGACATGTGTGAAGATGTTGAGTCCCTAAATATGTATTCAGATGTATCCTTGTTCTTTGCTTTTAATGGGAATTATTTATGAGAGTAATGTAATAATTTGTGTTTCTTTATCTACTTCCCAGCTTGTCTCCAGTTTACCAGCTGTGGTCCCTGTGTCACTGCCCAGATTGGTTTCAACTGCAGCTGGTGCAGTAAACTCCAAAGGTAAAAAAAAAGGATTTTTCTTCTTTGCATGGGTATGCCGCTGTTCTCAAAGGATGTCCAAAAACATTGCCCATAGGTTATTCAGCACAAGGGTTATTATATTTAGTCTCATATACATGTATTCACAGGAACACACACCTCAATTGCAATCACTAGCAACAAGATTGTCCCATTTCACTTCAGCAACGAAATTAGGCAAGAATGGTCAAAACAGTTGTTTTTGAAGTTAAGCCCTTGTTCCTATTTCCTTTCCTTTAAAATCCTTTTGAAGGAGAACAAGAAGTAGAAATCATGATAGAATTCATATTTTCTCACTGTGTCCCTGGCTTCATAAAAAATAACTTCACCACATGGAGGTTTGAGGTGGTAAGGTAACTGTAAAGACATGCTTGTTCTCTTAACAGCAGGGAGACCAACACATCCAGAGACTCAGAGTCTTTTCTCTTTTAATATCACATTATACTTAGTAGGTACATTTGGTCTCCTTAGCATCTCACTGCCATATTGACAAGGGCAGTCAGGTCAGTAGCAGGTGTGAGTTAGACTCTGTGGAGCAGGTGGAGCACGGACAGCAAAATGCAAACCCTGCAGCTGCAGCTTTTCCAAAACTTTCTTCAGTTGCTGACCTTCATTGACCTTCATAGCAAGAATTTAACACCAATTCTCTGACACAAAATGCAGTATCATAATGGACATTTATTATTGTTGTGTTTTTCAACCCTAGAGATTAGGTTCAGAAATGTTATGTATAAAATGGGTGCATAATGAAAGGAAAAAAGCCTGTGAGCAGTCTGAAACAGTGTAATGATTTGTTATGATAAATAGCTGATGAATGTGGTACAGAATTAGGAACTTCAGGTCACTTTTATTATGTTTTCTTAAGCTTCTACTCCCCTAGGAAGTAATTTGAGGAGTCACTCTGTTGCCAGTTTGTCTGCCAAAAACTCTTAAGTGGAATTAGAACTAAATAAAATCATTTCACAGAAAACATAGAGTAAGGATAGTTGAAAAAAACTGTTCGAAGCAAGCATAAAGAGATCTTGCTTGCTTTAGCCAATTTCTTCCTTTCAAGCTTTGCTTGATTCTACTTCCATTCGTAAATGTTGTAGCATCTGTTGGCTTTGATTTGAGCAAGGTCTGTTGTGTTGTGGCCAGAGTTCTCATGTCTCTTTGGATAAACTCAATTCTAGCAGGTAAGACTTGAAGAGATGGTAAAGTTCAGACATCTTATGAAGAACAAATAAAACTTGAGATTCTTTTTGTTTTTCTGTAGTTTCTGAACAACTGAGTCTCTTGAGTTCTGGAATTGCTGGAAAATCTGTTTCACATGCTGAGGCACAAATTCACTGTGGAGAACTAAAAGAGCTTTATCCTTCTTCATTAGCAGGAAGCAACACGGGGTGTGTAGTTGCACTGTGTTTCCTTCCGTGTATTTAGGTGAATTTGTCTACCTCTTCATAACTGGCAAGGTGTAATTTACTGCTGAAAAATATACAGTCTCAGCACACATACTTCTATTCATCTAAAGTCTGCATGAAAAAAAATCTTGTTTTTCATTTTCCCTATGAAGATCACACTGCAATCAAAGATGAACCTACTGTGAGGCAGCACTGCAGTCTTTCCCGGAAACAGCTGGCTTCACGCTGCAGCACAGTTGTGCCTTTGACAAGCTGCAGCAGATAGACTGCACAGTTTTATTGCTGTTAATTAGCCAATTACAGACTGCAGTGAGACTGTCATTTCATGTGGGCTGTGTTTGGACATTGACTAGCAAGAAAAGCAGGAACTGGAGCTGATTCCTTAAAAAAGGTGGATCAAGAAAATCAAAATAAAATTATGCTTCTAGACAGGAATTTCAGTAGTTTAAATAAGGCATACCATCCAATTTGCATCTATGAAGAGGAGTGATATTCAGACAGGTTTAAGCAAATGGGCAATTGTGCATAGAATGATAAAGTAGTTCAGATTGGAAAGATCTGCCAGAGGTCATCTAGTCTAACCTCCTGCTCAAAGCAGAGCCAACTGTGAGATCAGACCAGTTTCTTCATGGCTTTGTTCAGCTGGATCTTGAAAGCCTCTGAGGATATGGTGCAGTCCCCTGAACAGCTTAGTTTTTACTGGATTTGACACCTTTTTTTTTTTAAATTCTTATTTTCTTCAGAAACATAGTTTTGGTGGTGATGGCTGACTCAGGCCATTGCCTTTCTTGACCTCTCACCTCCAGCTTCTGAAATGAGCAGCTTATTTCAACCAATTCAGTTCTACAGAGAAACAGGTCTGAAATAATAGGTGCAAACATGTTTTGGGAAAAGAAGAAATGTGCTTTCCAAAATGAGAAGACTAAACATTTATTTAGTCAGTGTGCATTTTTCTGCTCCCTTCCAGTTGTGGATACTCTTGCCTGCATTTTAGTCCAGTACCTTTTTTCTTTTACCTTGCTTTTCCTCAACATGTTTATTCATTTTAGGGAGATTAAAAAAAAAAAAACAAAACACCTTATTCCACTTTCTGTTGAGATGTCTGGATCACAGGGCAGTACTCTGAATCATTTGCTTCAGTACCACATTATGGGTTTTCTCCTCTCAAAAAATAAATTAGCTGTGTTAAAATGTTCTTTTTGCATGTGATAAAGAAGCACTTGCTCAACAAGAAAACCTAACTGTCCTGGCATCATAAAGGATGTAAAGTTGTGAGTTCTTTCATCACAGTGCTCCAGCTTTTTCTGTGTGTCACTGCTCTTCAGTCACCAGCCCTGTAAAGCAACCTAGATTTTTATCTTCTGCTGTGATATACATTTTCTGCTGCAGCAGAATAAATTTGACTTGGAAAAACAAGGGCAAAGTATTATGTGAAGTATTAACTTAGACATTTCAGAAGTGCCTGGAGTACAAAGAAAATTAATATTTACAGTCCACTTTCAAATAAGGCGCTCAGAGGGGTTTTTGAAGTAGAAACAGATGCATAGGAGTAATGCCTGAGTAATGCTTCTGGGTTGCAAAGCTGACTGGACACACTGGTTCGAGAGGTGAAAAACCAAAGGCTGCCTGTTTTAGCTGTAGGCAAAGCCCAGAGTAGGGGAAGTAATTAGCCTTTGGTGCAAAAGGAAGAAGAAGGTTTTGAACCTGAAAGTGACAGGTTTCCAGTGTGGCAATAATCTACTGACTGACCTAGTGCTCCCATTTGTGCAGAGGGAGGATGCCTGTTTGCTAATGAGGAGACTGTTAGGGAGCAATGAGGGTCAGATATGGCTGTAACAGACAATGATGTTCCTCATATGGAGCCACAGTATCACTTTGGTACTCCAAAGTGGGATCTCCCAGAGCAGACAGGCTTCCGTGTCGGTAACAAGCAAACATGGATCCAGATTCTATAAGCCTTTTTTCTCAACAAGGTATGAGCCCATCTAGGCAGAGCAACATTGCTAACAAGAACAGTGTCTTGTGTATTTTTTTTCCCTTGCATAATATTTAAACCATGTACTGAATCATTCACTCAACAAAGTACAGTTGTTGGAAAAACAGAAAGCGTGTATTAAACCTGTAACTGCACAGGGAGAATTGACCAGCAGAACCATTGCAGAATAACTGTACTCCCCCATGTGGGCAATATGTGTTCGAATGAAAATAACTTTATTCGACAAGAGTGGGATGTTTCCTACCTGTGATTCAGCCCAGCTGCTGCACAAACTCTGCAGTCTTTGCAGAGGCAGGTTCTTCTTGTAGGCAGTTCAGAGCAAAAACCTCTATTCCTGTCACTCTCTACAAGCTTAAATCACAGTTTCCCTTTTCATAAGGGATCATCAAACTAACCACTCTGAAATCCACCATGACGTATGTCATACAGTTTAATCTCGACTAAAGCAAAGGTACATCACTTTCTTCTGACTTGAGCAGATGGAGGATCTCCCTAGGAGTTGTTTGGGGTTTTTTTGAACCATGTGTGTTCCATAGCTGTTCTATAAGTAAAACTGTTCCACAAATGAAAGAGACTAACTGTAAATATGTAGGCTAGGATGGTATCATTATCATAGCTTTCTCCTGCACGAGGACCTATGTCTATAAAATGCCAGAAACACTTAGCATCTGTCTCATAGTAGTCACCTATGGCTGAAGCTTGGATTATTTGCTCTTTATTATCTCTGACTTCCCAGCATGTAAAAACTGGGGGAATTCTTTGATCTTAGATCTGTTTATATAATCTTTTCATGCTTCTGAAAATATTTATGTACTCTAGGCACTTGCTATAGCCTGCATGTTAGAGATGTAATTTCCTAAGAAAAATTTTGGAAGGTTTAAGGCAACTTTGCTGTTATATTATAGGTTTAACTTGTACAACTTGCTGGCATTACTGAAAGAGTGAGATCCCTTGGAAATATCTGAAGTTAATTGCCCAAGAAATCAGTTGTGTTTATTAATTTTAAAAGAGTTGGCACTGAAATAGAATGGAAATATGATGCTTAAATGATCATGGTCTTTTTAAAAGTCACCTTTATACAAAGTTTTGAAAGTACTTTTTCAACAAACTCTGGACTTAAGTGTCAGAAGAGATATCCTAGAGACCAAAAGGCCTCAAACACTTTGTCTGAGGAAATACCTAAAGTTGCCTGAGTCTAAGCAGGGCTCAGCAGAGAAGTCTCTGAGCCCCATGGAACTCTTCTGCTCCTTATGTGTGACACTGCCCTTTACATAAAAACAGTCTCACAGTGATCAGAGAATCCCTTGAGGCACAGAACATAAGTGAACGTGGGTCCTCTGAACCCATGTCAGCCCTGAAGGGTGGCCTGTTAGATATCCAGGTGCTTAAACCTGAGCACTGAAGCTCATAGCTCCTTGCACAGCTGCAGCTCAGAGCAGATCCTCTGTCCTCAGGGAGCGGCTGCCTGGAGAGTCGGGGGCTCAGCTCCCACTGCTGCCGTCCAGGCAGCCCTGCTGAGGGCTCACCGGGGTCCACAGAGGAAGAGAGATTGAGATTTGGGAGTCCCGGTTCACAAAAAATCTTGC